AGGAGATTGTAAGCCGCTCTGAGACTCCTTTAGGTAGTGAAGGGCGGGGTATAAATCTCCTCCTCGTCTTCTTCTGCCAGTTTGGTGGGGTGGTTAAGTGTGCGGACTCTAATCTGGGAGAACCGGGTTTGATTCCCCACTCCTCCACTTGCACCTGGCTGGATGACCTTGGGCAAGCCATAGTTCCGATAAGAGCTGTTCTTGAAAAAGAGCAGTTTCTGTCAAGAGCTCTCTCAACCCCACCTACCTCACAGGGTGTCTGTTGTGGGGAGGGGAAGGGAAAGGAGATTGTAAGCCGCTCTGAGACTCCTTTGGGTAGTGAAGAGCGGAGGTATAAAACCAACCCCTTTTCCTCCTGCCTGATAGACAAGCCCCCCTAGAGGCTATGAATGTTCTCCCGCAACAGTATACGGTGTGTTTTTTTTTTGGGGGGGGGGGTCTACAATTCAGAGTGCTCTGATAGGGAGAAAGAAACAGAACCACAATGAACTATCACCCACCCAACCACTTGGCAGTCAGTGAAAGCCAGCCCCGAGAACCTATCCCAGAAGACCATTCTAGCAGTTTGGTGCAGTGGTTAAGTGTGCGGACTCTAATCTGGGAGAACCGGGCTTGATTCCCCACTCCTCCACTTGCAGCCAGTTGGGTGACCTTGGGTCAGTCACAAGTTCTCGCAGAGCTGTTCTTTCAAGAGCAGTTTCTGTCAAGAGCTCTCTCAGCCCCACCTACCTCACAGTTTGGTGCAGTGGTTAAGTCCGCGGACTCTAATCTGGGAGAACCATAAGAACATAAGAACATAAGAGACGCCAATGTTGGATCAGGCCAAAGGCCCATCCAGTCCAACACTCTGTGTCACACAGTGGCCAGAAATACCAGTGCCATCAGGAGGTCCAGCAGTGGGGCCAGGACATTAGAAGCCCTCCCACTGTTGACCCCCCCCCCCAAGCACCAAGAAGACAGAGCATCACTTGCCCCAGAGCCCCTAGCTATACCTTGTGGCTAATAGCCACTGATGGACCTCTGCTCCATATGCTTATCTAATTCCCTTTTGAAGCCGTCCATGCTTGTAGCACCCACCACTTCCTGTGGCAGTGAATTCCATGTGTTAATCACTCTTTGGGTGAAGAAGTACTTCCTTTTATCCGTTCTAACCCGACCGCTCTGCAGTTTCATGGAGTGCCCACGAGTTCTTGTATTGTGATTTGATTCCCCACTCCTCCACTTGCAGCTGCTGGAGGACCTTGGGCAAGCCGTAGCTCTGATAAGAGCTGTTCTTGAAAAAGAGCAGTTTCTCTGTCAAGAGCTCTCTCAGCCCCGCCCACCTCACAGGGTGTCTGTTGTGGGGAGGGGGAGGGAAAGGAGTTTGTGAGCACTCTCCTTCGGGTAGTGAAGGGCGGGGGTATGAATCCAATCTCCTCCTCCTCTTCTTCTTCTCCTTCTTCTGGGGAGGGGAAGGGAAAGGAGTTTGTAAGCCGCTCTGAGACTCCGTTGGGTAGTGAAGGGCGGGGTATAAATCCAATCTCTTCTTCTGCTTCAAGACCAAAATAAATAAATAAGACTCGATATTTGAACTCGGAGCCAATGTTCCCTCTAAGCTGTGGAGTCTTGTGAGCAAAAATTCAACTTTGTGAGCTACTGGCAATAAAGTCGTGAGCGAGCGATTTGGCTGCTGCATGAATTAGTTTGCTCTGGAGCCCTCCTTCCTGTGCCGAGACACAAATGTGTGAGCCGGAGGCTAAAAAACTGTGAGCTAACTCACACTAACTCAGCTTAGAGGGAACATCGCTTGGAGCCCTTTGCTCCACAGGCAACTAACGTCTAGCCATTGACCTGCCTGAGCTACTCTGGAAGATTCTTCCATGGGCTTAGTCAGAAAGGCATGAAAGGGATCTGAACTCGCAACTGGGAGCAGCAACAGCTCGCCCGCCAGGGAGCCGAGCACCTAGCTGCAACATAAAAACTTGGGTCTGGTTTGGGGGCAATACTGCCCAGCGGCTCCCACCACTGGCCTTTCTACTGCCGGAGTCTTCCTGCTCGACATCTTGCAAACAAAGTATACTTCAGGACACAGAATAAGACACTTTTTCTCCCTTTAACCCAGTGTGTTATTATAAGGATTAAAATGTCCAAACCGGGACAGAACCACCCCTCAGCCACCGGTCACCATTCTATTCACCGCCACCCTTTTCTACCCGTTTGTAGCACACACACACACAAAAGGACCTCTCTCCAAAACGGGAAATCAGATTCGTCACTATTATTTTCGGAAATAAGAACTTACAACAGTCAGGCATTTCGTTTTTAAAGTGTATGTTACAGATTTTCTCTCTCTTCTTTTTTTTAAAAGACACACGCTCGGTTAATAAGCATTAGTGACTAGTTGAAAACAGGAAAACCCAAGTTACTAAAAGAATCCACTTATGCACAAACTAAAAAAAAAAGACAGATCTCATCTCTCCCCCTCCCTCCAAAAACTGAAACACTTGAGAAAGGAAAAAAAGCAAACGCTCCCCTTGGAAAAAAAACATGATTGAACGGGGAAAGGCGTGTGCGTTAAGAGAACAGGCACACATTTCCCCCTGGCCTTTGTAGCAGTTTGCAGCAATGCTCAACTGATGTCGGAACGTAAAGGGGGCCGTCCTCTTGGTCAGATGATCCTGGGCATGTGGTCCTCTGGAGGGGACGCCAAGCGTGTGCCGGCATTGGTGGGGGTGGGGGGGAGGCAGAGATTTCCAATTCCATGATTGACAGCAGAAACGGTGCCTCAAACAGGCTGTTGATACATGATCGCCCCAAGGGCCCGACAGCAGAAGGCAGGTTTACAGCAGGACAAAGAGACCTGAACACGGGGTGGGGGAAGATGCAGTTGCGCCCACCTCACAATCCCTGCGCAAGCCCCACGGGAACAAACAGCCTTGGGCATCCATGCTTCCTGTTGTGCAGTGTGCCATGTTCACTAATGTGGGGGGCGTGGGGAGAAGCCCCCCATGCCCCACCTTGAGCATTAAGACATCTTGGACCCTTTTTGACAAAGGGCATGATTTGAGCCACGGGGTACCATTGGCGTGGTGCTCACTCCTGACCTTCCTGCGTTTTGAAAATGAAGGCGAGGGGGAGGGTGTTAGGTGAACGCTCCTGCAAACGGCAAGAGACGTCATGGATGTGGGGCAGAGGGGGAGAGATCCGCCCCACAGCTTGGAAAGCAGAGGTGGGGAACCGAACCCCTGAACGCCTCTCCCATCGAACACCCGCTTGGAGGCGTCTCCGCTCGCTCTCCCCTCTCCTGGGGTCTCGAGCCAGCCTCCGCCTCCCTTCCGCCGAACCTCCCGGCTGGACGGCCACCAAATTCCCTTTCCGCCGATAAGATTCGTGTTGGTCTGAAGCAGCAGAACACAGCTGGAGTCCAGCGGCACCGACAGAGTTTTATTCCGGGTTTCGGCTTTCGGGTGCCTGCGGGGAAGTCTCCGGAGAAGTGTGCATGCCGGAAAAGCTGATGCCCAGGAATTAAACTTTGCGGGCCTGAAAGGGGCCCCCACTGGACTCAAACGTTGTTCTTTCCACCGACAGCAGTTCTGCCTCCCAGCCCAAGAAGTCCGGGCCTCTCGGCACGGGGGGAAGCAGCCACTGTCGGCAGAAGAGGGTGACCTGTCGGTCTGCCGCCGGACAGCTTGATCGAGCCGGAAGCGCTTCTTACAACCTCTACGGCGCCACCGGACTCGAATCTAGCTGGCAGCAGACGGCACCTGCGGGGTCTGACCGGGGGCCTGGGTTCAGGTCCTGGCGGAAACTGGACTCCCCATTGTCGTTCCCAGTCCCTGCAGGGTAGCGATGGGTACCTCGAAGTGAGCCGGTGCAGAACGCATGACTTTGCGAGGGACCGCTGAGGAAGGGCTAAATGTGGAACCCCTTTGCCAGCATGACGCTTACCGGGCTTGGGGCCTGCAAAAAAGGGCCAGCGCCCCTGTTCTGCGCCCCCAAAGCACTGACGGGGCCCAGCACCCACCACCCCTCTCCCCCCCCCAAGGACTACCTGGAAAGATCCAATTTCCAAGAAGGGAAGGGAGAGGAGAGACGGGCGGGGTCCTCAGTTCCACTGCGAAAAAGCCAACCGAACAGACTGACAGACCGAATGTTCGCGGGCCAAGGGGGACAAGATGCTTCGACTCTTAATGCGCATACAAAACAAGCCACTTTATGGCCACGGAGAGATTGGCCTTGCTCCAGAGATGGAGAACCCAAGAATGAACCTGTGGTTCCCATGGGGGGGGGGCGAGAATGGGAGAGGAATCGGGGACACCGGCTTGCAAGTCCCCTCCGGCCGGTCTCCCGTGACCGCAAAGGCAAAAAACAACCGAAGGAGCGGAGGGGGATCCGGGGAGGGGAGGAGAGGAGAGGCCAGCACGTGCAGCTCCCGACCGGGCGTCGAGAACCCTGCGGAGACCCCAGAGAGGGAGAGAAAGAGACAGACGGCGATTGCTCCCGAAAGAACCTGGAAAGGGGGCGGGGTGGGGGGAATCTGGACAGACCGAGGCCGGGGTGGGGGGCGTGGCTGGAAGGTGGCACAGCGGCTGTCTAAAACGCCCTGCTGGCTTCACCCCGGGGGGCCGGGCCCAGAGAAAGGGAACCCTGGAGAGAAACTTTGGCGCGCCATCGCTGGCTTTCGGACATGAGTGGCAGTGGGGAGGCCTCCCGGCGAGGAGCGGGCCCCCAATCCGACACAGCCCCCTGGCTCCTCCACGGAGGAGGCGCTCCTTTCACAATCTGTCCCTCGGGGGCTCCCCGGCTCCAGGCCTCTCCTCGGCTCTGTGCTCCTGCGAATGCCACCGCCTCTCCCCTCCCGCCCCGAATCTCTGGGGAGAGAAAGAGACCCCCCTCCGAAGCTCCCCAAAGCCCAGGCGCGTGCGTGTGTGGGTCCTGCGCGACCGCCGATTGAGGGGAGTCAATAAGGCTCGCCGTGACCCCCTCCGTCGTCACAGCTGATCACCCAACTGAGCAAGACGAGAGGCGGGGCCGCTCCCGCCGCTCCGCACCGGGAACACGGATCCCCCCGCGACCACCGCCCCAGCGGGCGGGCGGGCCCCCGGCTAGTTCTCGGCCCCGACGGTCTGCCGGGCTTTGATGAAGGCCATCCCGTGGGTGCGGAAGTGAGTCTTCAGGTTGAGCTGGGTGTCGAAGCCCTTTCCGCACACCGTGCAGGTGAGCTTCCCTTCGGCGTCTGTCGGGGAGCCCCCCTCGAGCTCGCCCCGGGCCCCGGGCTCCTCCGCCTCGCCCGCCCCCCGCTTCTTCTTGTGGGTGATGAAGCGGTGGCGGTTGAGCGAGACCTGGGACGTGAAGCAGAGGCCGCACTCGCGGCACTGGTGGGCGCTCTCGCCTGTCCGGTGCTGGGGGATGTGTTCCTGGAAATCTGCCGCCGTGGGGGCCACGTAGCCGCACTTGCGGCAGTGGTAGAGGGCTTTCCGGTCGCCTTTGGGGGTCTGGGCCGGGGGGGTGGTGCTATCCGGCTCCTCGCTGCACGAGTCTCCTTCGTCGGAGGAGAGCTTGCGTTTCCGGCTGGAGGCCTGCAGGAACGGGACAGAGGAAGCAGAGAGGTTAAGCCCATCGGAGCACCTTTGCTTTTAGACAGGAAAACCACACACGCGCACAGACACACACCACCGCTGCCGCCAAGGTTCTAAGCCCAGGGGTCCCCAACATTTTTGAGCCTGCAGGCACCTTGAGAATTCTAATTGGCTTACAACCCCCTTTCCCTTCCCCTCCCCACAACAGACACCCTGTGAGGTCGGTGGGGCTGAGACAGCTCTGACAGAAACTGCTTGTGAGAGAACAGCTCTGAGAGAACTATGGCTTGCCCAAGGCCATCCAGCCAGGGGCAAGTGGAGGAGTGGGGAATCAAACCCGGTTCCCCCAGATTAGACAACAGACACCCTGTGAGGTAGGTGGGGCTGAGAGAGATCTTGACAGAAACGGCTATCTTTCAAGGACAGCTCTTGTCAGAACTGGGGCTTGCCCAAGGTCATCCAGCAGGTGCAAGTGGAGGAGTGGGGAATCAGACCCGGTTCTCCCAGATTAGAGTCCGCGCACTTAACCACTACACTAAACTAAAAGAAGAAGAAGAGATTGGATCTATACCCCATGGCCCTTCACTACCCAAAGGAGTCTCAGAGTGGCTCACAAACTCCTTTCCCTCCCCCTCCCCACAACTGACACCCTGTGAGGTCGGTGGGGCTGAGAGAGCTCTGACAGAAACTGCTTGTGAGAGAACAGCTCTGAGAGAACTTGTGCCTGACCCAAGGCCATCCAGCAGCTGCAAGTGGAGGCGTGGGGAATCAAACCCGGTTCCCCCAGATTAGAGTCCGCGCACTTCACCACAACACCAAACTGGTTCATATGGGGGGAGGCCATCCTTAAAACATACACCCCGGCCCCAGCAGGAAGCACATGGTGTTTGCAAGCCGGGTGCATGAGACGTGATGAGCCGCCGTACAGAGGCCGAGGTGTGGTTCCTGCGTTCCGAGCAGCTTGGGAGTTCTTCAGGGTCCAGAGGACCCCCTTCCAGGCTCACCTGCGAGTTCCGGGCGCCCAGGCGGGTGATCAGCACCTCCTGACTCCGCGTCTCGTCGGTCACTTTGATCCCGTGACGCACCTGGATGTGCTTCTCCAGGATGAGGCGGCTGCTGAAGGTGCGCTTCCCTTCGGTGCAGTACCTGCGCGGAGGGGGGGGGGAAGGAGGCGGTGAGAATCCGCGGGAGGTCTCCGGAAGACTCATACAACCCCCCAAGCCCCAGGAAGGCCTTCACGAGCAGAGAAGAGGGATCAGGTTAGGACTAGGGGGACCCCTGTACACCTCCTGGCAGGCCAGTGGTGCTAAAGAAATCTTGTTGTATTAACAAGAAGAAGAAGAAGAGGAGATTGGATTTATACCCCTGGCCCTTCACTACCCAAAGGAGTCTCAGAGCGGCTCACAATCTCCTTTCCCTTCCCCTCCCCACAACAGACACCCCCTGTGAGGCAGGTGGGGCTGGGAGAGCTCTTTCCATAACTGCCCTTCAGAGAACAGCTCTGAGAGAACATGTGACTGGCTCAAGGTCACCCAGCTGGCTGCATGTGGAGGAGAAGCGGGGAATCAAACCCGGTTCTCCAGATCTGAGTCAGCCGCTCTTAACCACGACACGAAACGGTTCCAGAAGGCAGCCTTGTGTTTCTGCAACTGGAAGAGCTCGAATCCAGTCTGGAAGCACCTGAGAGACCCACACGTTTTGGGGGGCAGGAGCTCTCAAGAGTCAAAGCTCCCTTCGTCAGAGAGAGCAGCAGGAGAGAAGCTAAACGCCAGCCCAATCGCACCTTAAGACAAACAAGCTTTTCGGGGCATGAACTCTTCAAGAGTTAAATCTCCCTGACAAAGCTGATGAAGGGAGCTGAGACTCTCAAAAGCCTAATAGCCCCTCAAAGCTTGGTGCCTCTTATGCCACAGCGGCTGAGGGGGAACCTCCACATCCAGAGGCAGTCAACCGCTGAATCCCAGAGACAGGAGGCAAAATCTGGGGAAGGCCTCGGCCTCTCTGCCCTGTTGCTGGCCCTCCAGAGGAACTGCCTAGCCACCATGTGAGAGGGGATGCTAGAGTAGATGGAGTAGATGGACCCTCACTGGTCGTTGGCCCTCCGGAGGAACTGGCTGGCCCCTGTGTGAGACGGGAGGCTGGACTGGAGGGACCCTCCCTGGTCTGACCCAGCAGGGCTCTTCTGAGGTTCTTCTCAGGGGAAGGCCTCGGCCTCCCTGCCCTGTTGTTGGCCCTCTGGAGGAACTTGCTGGCCCGTGTGTGAGACAGGAGGCTGGATTAGATAGATGGACCATCACTGGTCTGACCCAGCAGGGCTCTGCTGATATTCTTCTCAGAGGAAGTCCTCAGCCTCCTTGCCCTGTTGTTGGCCCTCCAGAGGAGCTCTTTGGCCACTGTGTGAGATGGGATGCTGGACTAGACTGGACCATTAAGTCTGATCCAGCAGGGCTCTTCTGTTGGCCCCTGTGTGAGAGGATGCTGGACTAGATGGACCCTCACTGGTCTGGCCCAGCAGGGCTCTTCTGAGGTTCTGATCAGGGGAAGGCCTCAGCCTCTCTGCCCTGCTGTTGGACCTCCAGAGGAACTGGCTGGCCCCTGTGTGAGACGGGAGGCTGGACTGGATGGACCCTCCCTGGTCTGACCCAGCAGGGCTCTTTTGATGGTCTTCTGAGGGGAAGGCCTCGGCTTCTCTGCCCTGTTGCTGGCCCTCCAGATGAACTGGTTGGCCCCTGTGTGAGACAGAAGGCTGGACTAGAGGGACCCTCCCTGGTCTGACCCAGCAAGGCTCTTCTGATGCTCTCCTCATGGGAAGGCTTCGGCCTCTCTGCCCTGTTCTTGGCCCTCCAGAGGAACTGGCTGGCCCCTGTGTGAGGCAGGATGCTGGACTGGAGGGAACCTCACTGGTCTGACCCAGCAGGGCTCCTCTGAGGTTCTTCTCAGGGGAAGGCCTCTGCCTCTCTGCCCTGTTGTTGTCCCTCCAGGGGAACTGGCTGGCCCCTGTGTGAGACGGGAGGCTGGGCTCCAACGGAGAAAGACCAAAGCAGCATGAATGTGAAAGAAATGCCCCTCCTCCCCAGCAGCACAGAGGTGGGCCCATTACCGGCAGGGGTAGACGCGCTTGATGCCCTCGTGGTTCACCCGAACGTGTCTCCGCAGGCTGGGGGCAGAGCAGAAGGAGCGTTCACACAAGCGGCACGGAAACTTCTTTACACACTGGTGAGTGAGAGGGAGAAGAGAATGCAGTGAGAACACAAACTCTGCCTCCCACAACAGCGTTAAGAGTGAAAGCCCAGTAGCACCTGAAAGGGTAAAGAAATGGTAGGGGAGGAGCTTTTGTGAGTCACTTTACACCTAGAATGTGAGCCACCTGCCCTTACAACTGAAGAGTAGAGTGATTTCAGATGCTGAGTGACAATAGCAGGTGGGGGGGACGGGACATTTTAATCTTCCCGGACATTCAGTTGCTCATTTAAGAGTAGCAGTTCACTTACAAAGGAATTACAAAGTGAGATTAGAAAGAGAGACTGCTGAATTGCAACTGATAATGATGTTCAAGACAGTGCATCTACCTGGACTGAATAGAGACCTAGGTTTCCTGTCTCATTACCAACACTAATTTCTCCACTCCAACTTCCCCTCTGCATATCACACCTAATCCAATCACACACAACCACTCAAGACCATCTTGTCACTGAAAGCACTTTATTGTTGTTAGTATTGTTATTATTTATGATTTTATTGTTTTACTGGATTTTATGTATGGGCTTTCGCCCCTTGTAAGCCACCCTGAGCCCACTCGCGGGGAGGGCGGGGTAAAAATGCCTAAATAAATAAAAAACAAATAAAAATAAATATTGTCATTTATCTGCTAGCACCATTCAGCACCTGAAATCACTCCACTCTCCAAGATGAGGAGGAGGAGGAGGAGGAGGAGGAGATTGGATTTATACCCCGCCCTTCACTACCTGAAGGAGTCTCACAGCAGCTTTCAATCTCCTTTCCCTTCCTCTCCCCACAACAGACACCCTGTGAAGTAGGTGGGGCTGAGAGAGCTCTTTCAAGGACTGTTCTTGAGAGAACAGCTCTGAGAGAACTCGTGACTGACCCACAACAGACACCCTGTGAGGTAGGTGGGGCTGAGAGAGCTCTTTCGAGGACTGTTCTTGAGAGAACAGCTCTGAAAGAACTTGTAACTGACCCAAAGTCACACCAGCAGCTGCATGTGGAAGAGTGGGAAATCAAACCTGGTTCTCCCAGATTAAAGTCCACACTGCGAACCGCTACACCAAACTGGCTCAGGAGGAGGACGGAGGGACTCACAATCCCAGCTGTATCTGAAGAGGTGAGCAGCAACTCACAAAAGCTCCTCCCCTGCCACAAATCACATTACTCTTTAAGGAGCCCTTGGACTCTGGCTCTTCTCTGCTGCTAGAGACAAACACAGCGGCCCATCTGGATCCGTCTCCCGCAAAGCCCTCGCCGGGCCCCTCAGACCTCACCACCAACACACAAGCGGGGCTCTGTTGCTCACAGACCCCTCCCCTTCCCCAAGTGTCGGGAGCTCATTAAATTAACTCATTAGCATAACTCATTTGCATATGCCACGCCCCCTGACATCACTGGAAGTGACAGAAGGCCACACCCCCTGACATCACCGGAAGTGTGTCAGAAGGCAACACCCACCGCTCAGGCTCCACTGGACTGTTTTCGACTTGGAGGGGGGGGCTTTGCAGCTTTCCTGGCTGCTTCTTGCTCTGACTGAGGGCTGCTGGGAGCAGGGGGCGGGGCTTGTTGCATGTGCCCGCCCCCTGGGCTCTTTACTGCCGGAGCTCCGCCCCTGTGCGCTCCCGCAGGAAATGACCCCTGGTTTGTAAAATGTATTTCCGAGGGCGACCATGCAGCTGCAGCACCGGGCCATACCTAATGATGCGTTGGCTTATTTCTATCTTCCTTTGCTCCCCCGTTAGGATTCAAAGCAGCTTCAGAACACGGTTCTCCCCGCCTCCGTTTGCGTACATCCACCACCACCACCACCCTGTCAGGTAGGCCTGGCCGAGAGCTGGTGATGGGCCCAAGGCCACCCAGCGAGCTTCCGTAGCAGAAGTGGGGATTCGAACCCAGGTCACCCGGAACAAATACATGCTCTCCCCCTCTTATTAAGGTGCCGAGCCAGGGGCAGCCAAAACGTGCACATCAACTGATCTCGCTCCTTTTGACCCACTCCTTCCTTCGGGGAGCTCAGGGCTGCATGTGTTGCTCTCTTTTCCTCCCTATAACCCTCACAACCACCCTGCGAGGTAGGCTGAACCGAGAGAAAACCCACCCAGAGCGCCGCATAAAAAGAAGAGGAGCACCATTCCGCCTCTCACCTTCCCGTGGATCTTCTTCATGTGCACGACGTACTCGTCGCGCTCCGGGAACCAGGAGTGGCAGATGCCGCAGGTCCAGCCGTTGCTCCGGGTGCGCCTGCCCACCTCCGGCTTGCGCTGGAAGCGGCCCCTCTTGCTCTTGCGTACCTCCGGGGAGCTGGGCGGCTCCTCGTCCTCCGAGGAGGAAGACGACGACTCCGAGACTTTGGAGACCGAGGGCGGGGACTCTTCTTCCGTCGGCTCTGGCTTGGGGGTGAGGGGGGCAGCGGGGGGCTTCTTGGCGGGCTCCTCCTGGGGCTTGGGAGGCTGGTGAGTGTTCTGGCCCCCCCAAAAGAGGAAAAGGTGGGTTAGACCGAGCTGAGCTGGCAGGAGGGCAGGCAGTCCCCCTGAGGGCCCAGTCCAGAGGAGAGGTCCACGGTTCTCCCAAAACAGCCAGCGTCGGCAGGAGGGCTGGGGAAAGGGGGCTGGCGCCGAGCCACCCACTCCTGCCAGAGAATCCCCAGCTGGTTTACACGGAGTAGAACTGCCGGCTCATCAAGATCAGTTCTGTCTCCTCTAACTGGCTCTCCAGGGACTCAGACAGGCTTTTCCAGGGAGAGGCCAGGGACTGAACGCAGCCGTGGGAACGGCTTGACGTCTACGGACAGGGCTGCTTCTAGGACCTGGGCCATCCAGGTCGGAGCCAAAGGCATGCAGAGGAGATTTGCCATTGCCTTCCTCTACAAAGTCTTCCTTGGTGGTCTCCCACTCAATTACTGACCTTCTTAACTGCTGAGATCTGATGAGATTGAGCTAGCCTGAACCATCCAGGTCAGAGGAAAAGACAAACAGAGGTGGGTTTGCCATGGCCTTTGCAGAGCCTTCCTTGGTGGTCTCCCTTCCAAGTACCGACCCTGCTTAGCTTCCGAGATCTGAGAGGCAGAGGTGGTTGGCCATTGCCTTCCCCTGCAGAGCCTTCCTTGGTGGTCTCCCTTCCACGTTGTGCTGACCCAGCTTAGCTTCTGAGAGCTCATGAGACGAGTCGAGTCTGGCCCATCCAGGTCAGAGAACCAGTTATATCTACACAGTCAAACGCTAGAAACCTCCACCCCCAACCCCCCCGAACCAAACAACCTGAGTCCGAGGAGATAAGGTGGAACAGAAATGTTTAAACATTTTTTTAAAAAAAACGTAAAAGCCAAACTGTCTTGCCAATACTACACTCTGAAGCTGCTTGGTGCTCTTGCGGTACGGTATCCTATCTAGCCATCTGGGCCTTTTTGCCGACGTTGCCGCCCTTGCCCTGGGATGCCCAGGCTAGCCTGATCTCGTCAGGTCTCGGTAGCTAAGCAGGGTTGCTATGCAGAGGCAGGCAATGGCCAACCACCTCTGAACGTCTCTTGCCTTGACCCGGATGGCCCAGGGTAGCCTGATCTCGTCAGGTCTCAGTAGCTAAGCAGGGTCGGCCCCGGTTAGAACTTGGATGGGAGACCACCAAGGAAGCCCAGGGTTGCTGAGCAGAGGCAGGCAATGGCAAACCACCTCTGATCGTCTCTTGCCTTGACCCGGATGGCCCAGGGTAGCCTGATCTCATCAGGTCTCAGTAGCTAAGCAGGGTCGGCCCCGGTTAGAACTTGGATGGGAGACCACCAAGGAAGCCCAGGGTTGCTGAGCAGAGGCAGGCAATGGCAAACCACCTCTGAACGTCTCTTGCCTTGACCTGGATGGCCCAGGCTAGCCTGATCTCCTCAGATCTCGGAAGCTAAGTAGGGTCTGCCCTGGTTAGTCCACGGATGGGAGACCACCAAGGAAGTCCGGGGTTGCTATGCAGAGGCAGGCAATGGCAAACTGCTTCAGCCTCTTGCTTAGACCTGGGTGGTCCAGGCTAGCCTGATCTCGTCAGATCTTGGAAGCTAAGCAAGGTCGGCCCTGGTTAGTCCACAGATGGGAGCCCACCAAGGAAGTCCAGGGTTGCCATGCAGAGGCAGGCAAGGGCAAAACCACCTCTGAACGTCTCTTGCTTTGACCTGGATGGCCCAGGCTAGGCTGATCTCGTCAGGTCTCAGTAGTTAAGCAGGGTTGGCCCTGGTTAGAACTTGGATGGGAGCCCACCAAGGAAGTCCAGGGTTGCCATGCAGAGGCAGGCAAGGGCAAAACCACCTCTGAACGTCTCTGGCCTTGACCCGGATGGCCCAGGCTAGCCTGATCTCGTCAGATCTCAGAAGCTAAGCAGGATCGGCCCTGGTTAGTACTAGGATGGGAACCCACCAGGGAAGTCCAGCGTTGCTACGCAGAGGCAGGCAATGGCAAACCACCTCTGAACATCTCTTGCCTTGACCCGGATGGCCCAGGCTAGCCTGATCTCGTCAGATCTCAGAAGCTAAGCAGGATCGGCCCTGGTTAGTACTAGGATGGGAACCCACCAGGGAAGTCCAGCGTTGCTACGCAGAGGCAGGCAATGGCAAACCACCTCTGAACATCTCTTGCCTTGACCCGGATGGCCCAGGCTAGCCTGATCTCGTCAGATCTCGGAAGCTAAGCAGGGTCGGTCCTGGTTAGTACTTGGATGGGAGACCGCGGGGGAAGTCCAGGGTTGCTATGCAGAGGCAGGCAATTGGCAAGCCACCTCTGAACGCCTTGTGCCCTGAAAACCCTACATGGTTGCTATAAGTCAGTTGTGACTTGATGACCCTTTCCACCACAACTAATTTCTGTGCAACAGAAATGTGTACAAACCCGACCATCACCACCAATGACCACATCTTCACAACTGCTACTAGAGTGCCCAGTGATTAAAACTTTGCCTTTGTCTCACACTTTGTGGCGAGAGACCAAAGTCCTGAGTCCAGCGGCACCTTTCAGAGCAACAATCTAATATGTTATCGGAGGCTTTCACGGCCGGAGTTCGTTAGCTGTTGTGGATTTCTCGGGCTGTATGGCCGTGTTCTTGGCATTGTAGGGCCTGACGTTTTGGCTGTGACTGGCATCCTCAGAGATATAACACAGAAAGAGGGAGGACTACAATGCAAAGACCACAGCCATAGAGCCCGGAAAATCCACAACAACTATCTGGGTATGGGCTTTCGTGTGCATGCACACTTCCCCAGATACATGCACATGAAAGTTTATACCCAGAATTGAACTTTGTTGGGCTGAAAGGTGCCTCTGGACTCAAACTGTGTTCTAAAGTTTTACACGAAAGCTTATACACCCAGAATTAAACCTTCTTGGTTTGAAAGGTGCCACTGGACTCAAACTCTGTTCTGAAGTTTTATTCTGCACACGAAAGCCTGTACCCAGAATTGAACTTTCTTGGTCTTAATGATGCCACTGGATTCAAACTCTGCTCTAAAGTTTTATTCTGCACACGAAAGCTTTCACCCAGAATTAAACTTTCTTGGTCTGAAAGGTGCCACACTGGACTCCGACTTTGTTCTCTTGCTTGAGACCAACGTGGCGACCCACCTAAATCGAACGTCACGGTCGGGTTCTGGATCTCACCTTCAGATGCTCCAACATGGTCCGCTTCTGGGCAAAGAGGAGTGGGCAGTCGGGACACTTGAAGACGCTCACCCTCTGGTTCAGCAAATGCTGGTCAAAGTGCGAGGAGAGCAGAGGCTTGTGGGTGAAGACGGTATCGCACATGGCACACTTGTAGATCATCCTGCAGGGACAAGAAACGTCTGAACCGGGGACTGAGGGAGGGAGGGAGGAAGGGAGAAGGGGAAGGAGCCAGGGGGTGTTCCTGGGGCCCACGAGAGTGCCCCAGATGAAGCCCCAGTGGCGAGGGGCTCAGATTCTCACTGGGCTTTCTGCTGACATCCACCCACCCACGAGTTTGGGGAGGGGGTGTGGCTCAGTGGGAGAGCATCTGCTTGGCATGAGGTAAGGTTCAGTCTCTGGCATTACACCAATCAGGTTGGAAGAAGAAGAGGAGGAAGAGGAGGAGGAGGAGATCAGATTTATACCCCACCCTGCACTTGGAGTCTCAGAGCGGCTTACAGTCTCCTTTCCCTCCCCCTCCCCACAACAGACATCCTGTGAAGGAGGCGGGGCCAAGAGAGCTCTCTCGAGGACTGCCCTTGAGAGAACAGCTCTGAGAGGCTTCCGGTCTGGCTCCCGCGAAAGGCAGACGCATCCTCGGGTCGCTCCCGAGGGCGCCTTGCCCGCCCGCGGTGGAGGAGGGAATCCGCGCAAGCGGAGACCCGAACGAGCCCCTCAGATGAGAGGAGCTCGGATCAGGGGCGCTTTAGGGCGTTCCAGGGGGGAGTCTCTCTTTCGGTCGAGAGATCGGAGATTGAGACTCTCGCCATGCCCTGCCCCTTTGGACCTTGCTGCGTGAGCGACCCCGTTCTACGGGGTTTAGCGGAACCACCGGGCGTCACCGAGTGATGAAGCGAAAAAAAATGGAAAAGAAAAGACTGGCGTAACTGTGAGTTGTCAAAATACAGTGAAAATGAACTAAGAACGTTTCCCCCCCCCCTTCAGCGGAAAATGAGGAGGTTAATCCTCTATAAGCAGAGAAAGAAAAAAAAAAGAAAAGAGGGGGGGAATGGACTGAGCGAATAGTGATCTTTTCCTTTGATGTACTTGAAAATAAGCAAGAGGTTTTGTTTCCCTGGAGCGCATTTTAAAAACTTTACTAAAAATAAAAAAACAAGATGTCGGAGATGGGTAAAGACAAGCGGAGAGAAGGGAGGGACTTCCGTCTGGGCGTTTGTGTCAACGTGAGTGCCGGCTGTTTAATATTTGGACTGGGTATGG